CTGACTCTCTCTGGTTCCTCCCTCTTCCTGACTCTCTCTGGTTCCTCCCTCTTCCTGACTCTCTCTCTGGTTCCTCCCTCTTGCTGACTCTCTATGTCTCCTCCCTCTTGCTGACTCTCTCTGGCTCCTCCCTCTTGCTGACTCTCTCTGGCTCCTCCCTCTTGCTGACCCTCTCTGGTTCCTCCCTCTTCCTGACTCTCTCTGGTTCCTCCCTCTTGCTGACTCTCTATGTCTCCTCCCTCTTGCTGACTCTCTATGTCTCCTCCCTCTTGCTGACTCTCTCTGGCTCCTCCCTCTTGCTGACTCTCTCTGGCTCCTCCCTCTTGCTGACTCTCTCTGGCTCCTCCCTCTTCCGGACTCTCTCTGGCTCCTCCCTCTTCCTGACTCTCTCTGGCTCCTCCCTCTTCCTGACTCTCTCTGGCTCCTCCCTCTTCCGGACTCTCTCTGGCTGTTAGCTGAGTTGGGGGATCCGGGGTCAGAAGGCAGTAAAATCCATCTCCCCCACTTCCATGTGCCTCGTTCAGCTCCTGCTGGTACTCCAGCTCTGGGAGTTGTCAGCTTGGCCCCCTGTGATCTCGGGGGCCCCTGCCAGTGTAGCTCGGGTCCACACTCTTGGTTCTGGGTCCGGTCTGTGATTTCGGGCCAGGACAGGCGAGTGGTAGACGTGGTTTGGGATTTCCTTGGCTCGCTGTGTCCTCAGTCTAGCGGAAGATCCTTCAATCCCGGACTCGTCTACCAGCTCTGACCTGTGGCCCCCGGGTGGGATCTCTCCTCCAGTAGAGTTCGGAGACGCAGCTTGGTGAGCGACGTTCCCGTCGGGTCCATTTCAGAACCGGCGGGACCTTGGAGAGAGGCGGGACCTTGGAGGGAGGCGGGACCTTGGAGGGAGGAAGTCCGGGAACTCATTTGTCTTCTTCGGAGGTCGCAAGAGCCTCAGAAATACAACCGCGGGTGGAATCTCAGGAGACATCTCCATCCTCCGGCACTCACTCTACAAGGGGCCTCGGCCTGGGCTGACAAAGCCGGGACTACTCCACTTGGATCGGTTTCCACACGTGTGTCAGGATCAGACGTGAGGTCCTGCAGGCCGTGGCCCCTCCCTAAGCATACAGTAGCCCGCGGTCCTTGGTTGTCCTCTCAAAAGCTGTCCTGGAGGATGACTCAGGAACCCGGTAACTTCTGGGATCTTCCAGGACAACATGGACCCCCCCCCCCATTTGTATTTGGTTATTTTGGTTTTCATTTGTCTTCTTCGGAGGTCGCAAGAGCCTCAGAAATACAACCGCGGGTGGAATCTCAGGAGACATCTCCATCCTCCGGCACTCACTCTACAAGGGGCCTCGGCCTGGGCTGACAAAGCCGGGACTACTCCACTTGGATCGGTTTCCACACGTGTGTCAGGATCAGACGTGAGGTCCTGCAGGCCGTGGCCCCTCCCTAAGCATACAGTAGCCCGCGGTCCTTGGTTGTCCTCTCAAAAGCTGTCCTGGAGGATGACTCAGGAACCCGGTAACTTCTGGGATCTTCCAGGACAACATGGACCCCCCCCCCCAATTGTATATAGTTATGTTGGTTTCTTCCGTTCTACTGAGAGGTGCCTTGGAGAAGGCGGTCTTATATGGGTGATGTATTTCCTGTTTTGGGTGGGCGGAGCCTCTGTCTGTCATATGCTGTCCTGGAAGGGGCGGTCTTATAAGGGTGATGTGTTTCCTGTTTTGGGTGGGCGGAGCCTCTGTCTGTCCTGGAAGAGGAGTTACCAGATGCCTAACTGGCGTTTTGGGGAACCCCACCTCAGTGTAGAAGGGGATACGGGGGGGGGAGGGGCATTGCGCACACTTGCTGTGTTCCTGCTGTTTTATTTCGGGTCCCCTATAGGGGCCCGTAGTCACATCCTTTTGCGTTGTGTGAAGTCAATGATGACCTAAGATCGTACCGTAACACGCACGTCTTCCGTGCCACGGGGGAGGGGCTCCGCCAGTGAGAGTTCATTGGCTGTACCATTCCACATGGACATGGCGACACTCCGGACCCGGTGAATGCGCAGGGAGGGAACATTCACCTCTTACAGGCTTCGTTCACCGTTCCTGAACATCAGTGAATGGAGTCAGGCCGGGGGGAGGGGGACAGGAGAGGTTACCGGCCCCTCAGCCTGGGAAGAGACATGATAGGGTGATACCTCGATGGGAGGGGCTTAATCGTGTAAGAGGCATGGCCTAAAGAGGAGAAATGCGTCCTATTTAAATACAAAGTAACAAAAGTCAGGGATTTGGGGGCCGGTTCACACCACAAAGGCTGCGTTCCGGAGCGTTCGGTCCTCAGCCCGTCCCATTCAGGGGAGGGGCGGGGCATGGCGATGCAAGCACAGATCGCACTGGACTGGAACGCAGGCACATTAGTGCGGGCGATCGCACTGCGGGTGGGGGGGGGCGTGGCTGCAGTGCCATTGACATCAATGCACCGCACCTCCCGCC